TTTTGTAAGAGATTTGATTAGATGGATGTAATCGTAGAGCAAAAAAATGTTTTCAGTGTCCTCCATGGAGAAATCAAAATGAATTTTTTAAAGAATGCTTGATTTACTCTGTTATTATCACACAAAATTGCAACAGTATCGAAGAAATAAATTTATCATATCACTAACTTGCTCATATTGAAAATCAGTACTTAAATGATACACTAGCAGAGCTTTGTATAAAAATTTTTTACCTCCAAATAATGAGCAAATCGTAAAACTTATAACAGTGGTTGCAAAATGTTCTGGATTATTTACAGCTTTTTCAAATAAATTATCGACCTTGATATGTTAGGTTTTGCATAAACTTCGTCAAATATAATAATGATATTTTTTTGACAAGGATCATTAAAATGCATAAAATATTTGTTAAGAAAATCAACATCATTTAATTTAGCAACGTTTGATATAAGTTTACCAAATGTTACAATACTTGGCATTTCATAATCATCTTTAATACGATTTTAAAGAGATCTTGAAATTACAAAATACTCAAAAGCCCTACTTAAAATTTCTGGTGAATATTTTTATTGCCAACAAATGTTAATACATGCATGCTAATAATTGGTTAAAGGATAATTTTTTTTTTTATCCATTTCGAATGAATTTAAATATCAAATAGCTTCAATAATTTGTAAGATAAAATTTTATGTATTTGATTACTGCATAGTGGTTTAATCGTGCATCTAGATCCACAATGAAAACCTTCAAGTTGCATATTCATTTTAATTTTTAAAAGAAACTGTGGAACGACAGAGGTGTCAATATAACTTTTACTTTGGATTATTAGACCATTATCCTCTGTAAAGGATATTACTGTGAAAGTAATATTCTCTTAGCTTACTTTTTTGCAAAAGTCATCAAAACAATTAATTTTATACAAATTCAGTGATATAAAATTTCATCAGCATTTGTTACGTGTAGATGGTAGTAATTTTGTTGTTGTTCTTTTTTTTGGTAGAGGTGTAGAAATTTGACTTAGTAATACACAAATAAAAATAGTTGGTGGATTTACAGGATGAAATTTTACCATAAACTTGACAGGTTTCATAATCAACTGGCCAATAATTTTTGCAAATAAATGTATTTGAACTGTCTGGAATATTTTCCCTTAATATTGTATGAATTTTTTCCTCTGATAACAGAAAAGGTTTTGCTTTATGTTTTTTGTCATAGTTGCTTTTGCAACCAGTTACACAACATTTGAAGGGTATGATTTAGTTTTCTCTCGAAATAAAATTTCATTTTTTCTAAATATAGAAAATATATTCCATATAAGATAGTATTGATTATCAAACACTTTTTTGTAATAAGCAATATATATATATATATATATATATATATATATATATATATATATATATATATATATATATATATATATATATATATATATATACATACATACATACATATGTAGCTAAGTTTTTAGGATATATACAATATTTAAAAATGCACATAATGTTTAACAAAAATAAAACCTAACAACGCTGTAAAACCAACCAACATTCTCCATTTTTGTTTATTTTTTTTTTTGGTATATAAACATTCGCCTTTAGTTATTATTATTATTTTTTTGCGGCCTGTTATTAAGTAGGCCGTGAAAAAAATAGATTAATGACGCAAAAAACAAATAATGGACAAAATCGTATTATTTTAAAATATGAAGCGGACGGGGACGGGTAACAACTTTGCAATTCATAGCGGCCTTATTGCAATAAAGTAGATTTTCTTATAGACAATTTTTAAAATTATGAGCCATCTTAGACAGAGAAGGTTAATAAGATCAGAGTTGAGTTAATGACACTGTTGAAGATTTTCACTGTTAAAGTTTTATGGTTATAATCATACATGTTTGCTATTTATTCAGTTTCTGGCATGCAATATCCTTACATATTTGTATAAACTTTAGCATTTATATGGTGTATTGTTTTCTAAAAGAGAAGATGATGATCAGATGAATGTTTGTTATGAATCTTAGAATTAGAAAAACATTGAATTTAGAAGAATAAAGTAATATGTAGAGACTTAGCAGCTTCAAGAAAAAATGGTAGGGGTAGAAGTAAGAAAACCTGGAGAGAGTGCCTTACATAATTAAAAAGAATATAAAAGATATATATATATATATATATATATATATATATATATATATATATATATATATATATATATATATATATATACAGGCTTCGGCAGGAATGACGGGCTATAGCCCGTGTCCGTCTCCGCACCCGTCTAAGTCAGTTTAGACGGGCAAAATAAAGCCAGTCTGAAACATAAGTTTTGTGTAAAAAAAAAGATGAATATTTTGATGTTTTTTCATTAAGATACTCTTTTAAAACTTCTCTCATGACATAATTTTAATATGGATAGCAAACTCCAACTTATAATTGTTTATATTTAAATAAAAAAATTAAACAATTTAATCATTATTGTATAATATGATGTAGAAAATAATATAACTAAATCTTACAGTTTTTTAAACGACGATAACTGTTTGATATAATACCAAACAGTTACCATATTATGTTCAAAATTTAATAACTATTATATTAAATAGGGAAATATACACATGTGATGCACAAGAAGTATCATGTTGTTTTGGTTTTTTAATGTTTATAATAATAACGATAATAAACTAATTATCCATGTATTTCGCTTTTTTCCGATAAACTAGTTTGTCTTACTTTAAAGACATTTAAAGTGATATTTCCGCGTTAACTTCCGCGTTTTTTCTTAAAGAGACGGCAGTTTATTTAATATGCAATTATATAACTCGTTATTGAAAATGAAATATCTCATTAAAAATCAACAAACGTCTAATCAATTTTTGTAGTTAATATAAATAGTGTTGCTTTATAGTTATGAAGTTATTCAAGTTATCCAGTCATTCAAGTTTTTCAAGTTTTTCAAGTTTTTCAGTAAAGATAGTAATGGCATCATCTGGTAGAAGAGTTACATTAGCAACATTTTTAAGTTGGGGTAAAGATGGAGTCTGTGGAAAAGAAACTGAGGTGGAGAATGGAACAATTTTTGTTGTGAAGATATGGTGTATGGTTTGTATAAAATATAAAAAAGAATTGCTTTGCGAGTTAAAAGGTCTGGCAAAATCAAAAGCATAAGCATTTATAGAGGGCACTACGAACGTTAAAGCTAGCAACATACATACGCTTATATACATGCTTATATTGTATATAAAGTAACGGAAGCCCCGGTATCTTAATAAATTATTAGTACTTCTAAATAAAAACTTATTTTATTAAAAGAAATTAGATTTCAAATTTTTTATTCACGTATCAGAATAACTATTTCCGATCAGGATAGGCATAGGTAAAGCAAAGTTATGAAAATATAAATAACAGTTTAAGTTTTTAATTTGCACGCCCAATAGAATGCAAGAGTATATAAATAATTGAATTTGAAAAATAACATAGTTACGTATCATATTACCAAGCTAATACCAAACAATTCTAAAACTATCGAGCTCATTGATTCAAGGTTAAAAAAAAAAAAAGATTTCAAACTATTTGCTGAATAATTAAAAAAATTAGATTTTGAAAATATTATGTAATATTTTTATTCACAAAGAATAAGAGAAACGAATGAACTAAAAAAGCACGAAAAAAACCTGTATAATTTAATCGAATACTTGAATAAAACAATAATATATAAATATACTCAAAAAGACTTCGGTAAAAAAACACGTTAGGATGCTTGAATAAGGAAACGTGATGAAACGCCATGGTTGTTTCGAGAATTTTTCCCGTCGTTTTCACGTTCATTCGTTTGACTATATCTGCCAGGTATTATATGGAATAAAGATTAAAAAAAAACAACATAAAAAACTGAATAAAGTTCCTTCGAGTAAGAAATCTAAACAAAAGCAACCATAAAAAAACTAACCCACGTGAAACGAAATTAGATCTGTGCAAGTGAAAACTCTGAAAAACAATTATTGAAATCTTAGTTTTAAGTATTATCCAACTCATTTACTGCAGTTTTTTAATTACTTAAGTAATTAAGCATTTTAAACAGTTAATCGCTTTCTAACATATTATTTTAGTGCAATTCACAAAATGTTTAATATTCAATGACATTTTCATTCAAAAAGAAGAAGAGAAATTAACAAATTAAAAAAAAAAAATGTTCAAACTTTAGAATTTTTTTTAAAGTTTAAAAAAGCCCGTGCAAGACCATCTAGACGGGCGGCCCTCACAGCCCGCCAAGTCTATTTAAGACGGGCTTTTCATAGCCCGTACGGTTTTATTCCTGCCGAAGCCTATATATATATATATATATATATATATATATATATATATATATATATATATATATATATATATATATATATATATATATATATATATATATATATATATATATATATATATATATATATATATATATATATACATATATATATATATATATATATATATATATATATATATATATATATATATATATATAAAACCTGGAGAGAGTGCCTTACATATGGTATGAACAAGCTTTAGTTTAAGAAAGAAGATGCTCAAGATTGTTTGTGAAAAAAAGTTAGTTTTTTTTTTGGGAAATGGTTTTAAAATTTTAAAGTATTTTCTTGTTTTTAATGTTATTAATTTTTATGAAATTATTATAGAGTTATTTTATTCTCAAAACATTAGTACAAACTTTGATACAAATATTCTTTTCATAAAAATATTTGAATATTATGGATTTAATATTACAAATATTCTTTCGATTAAAATATTTGAATATTATGGATTTAATATTTACCACATAATGTTAAACATTGGGATAGGCACAGGGGGCGGAGAGGCAATAGTCTTCCCCCCCCCCCCCAATTTTTTTAAAAATATTTTTTACATTCAAATTTTGTTTCTGGCTGCCTTTAGTCCCTGTTTACTTTGAAGTTACGGGTTGAGATAGATTTGCCATATAAAATTTATTTTTTTTAACAGTAGTCAAATCAAGGATGCTCTCAGACTTAGGTATGTGAACCAAATTCAATTGAAAAAAAAACAATATTTTCTCAAGAAAAAGGTATCAAGTTAAAATTAATCAGTTTTAGATGAATTACATTTATATATTACAAAAGTGTTTTCCGAAGCTTTCTTTTATACTTTCAAAACTGTTTAACAAGTGCTTATCAGAGTCTTGTTTTCCTTTAATTTTGAAACACTTAATCTCTCATCTTGAATCACTCTTCTTCATTTCCTGTAACTTCAGGGGCTCCTCAAGGATCTATCTTTGGCCCTATACTTTTTTTAATTTACATTAATGATCTCCCAGAAATTCTCACATCTAAGGTGGTGTTGTTTGCTTATGATGTTACTATTTATTTTTGTCTTGATAAGAATTCAACACTCTCTGATTGCTTGCAGGGGGCATTTGAGCTTGAAAAAGATCTTGCTTCTGCTACAGCATGGAGCACTCAGTGGCTGCTGAACATTAACTTAGTCAAAACTCAATTTTTTTCAGCTAATACTTATCACAACAATATAGATCTTTCTATATTTATGAACAGTAATGTACTTGATGAGTCACCTGGCCTTCTTTATCTAGGATTAACCTATACTGGTGATCTTTCTTGAAAAGTATATATCAAATCCGCTGCAAAATTAGCATCTGCTAAGGTTGCATCTCTTTATTCTACTTGCTATTTTATTTTTCCAGGTTCTCAACTTTTTACTGTCACTATTTACAAGTGTTTCAAAAAAAAAATTGTCTATTTTTTTTCCTTGAATATCAGTTATTCAATGTTAATTGTCATTTGTTTTATAGTTACCATAGTTACATTTTTATAAAATAATTACCAAGAAATTTTACAAAAGAGTATGTTTTTTTAAGGTTTTATTAATTAAGTTTAATGGGATTTTTTTGAAGAGTTTGTTTAATTTCTAGATATCTAGATGAAAACTCACCCGTTACTGTTGATTTTGAAAACCCTGTAAATCAACCACTTACCCATAGTTGTAGCATTGCATCTCTTTTCTACAAATACTATCATGGCCAAACAAGTTATTTACTCCAGCTATTTGTTCCACCAATCATAACTCAAGTCTGCATTACTCACTATTCAACCATTTTTTACTTTTTTTTTGTTTCTTCAGAAACAAAGATGTTCGTGTTTTAAAAACTTTCTTTCTTTCAATTATCTAGACTCTTTCCTTGTTCATCAATTTTCTTGTTCATCATTTTATGGTCCCAACTTATGTAGTGGTTGCTTGCATATATATTAGATGAAAATTGATAAAAAAAAATGTTTCTGAATTTGGAGTGTAAATCAAGGTTTGTGGCACTTCTATATGCTAAATGTTTTAATTGATATTTTTTAAGTTGTCTAGTTGTTAAAGAGGTTTTGCTTAAAGACGGTAATTTTGATTTAAAAAAATATAGCATTAAATAAAACTATATTAATATATTTGATTTGAAAATAATTTGATTTAAAAATAGCATTAAATAAAACTATATCTGTATATTTGATTTGAAAATAGCATTTAAATAAAACTATATTTAGGCATTTATCTCTGTTTTCACTATATAGTTACTTATTATTTTCTTTAGTTACTTATTATTTTCTTACCTTTTTCTTTAGTTTCAATTATTACTTAATTAAGTTATGGTTTTGAACAATATGGTTAAAACAATAACTTATTTTAGTAATAATAATTATTGTTGACTAAAAAGTTAAAAAAAAACTATCTTTAGGTATTTGTTTTGTTTTTACTAAGAACTTTAAGTTTCATATTTCTTATTTTCTCCGTACTTTTTCATAGGTTTCAATCCTTCATTGTTTAAAACCACTTATTTAAGTAATAATAAATATTTTTAACAAAAGGTTAAAAAGAAATAAACTTTGTCAAACCATAAAAACTTTTACATCTTTTGTAACATTTCCACAGAAAATATTGTTAAGAAAGTAATTTTTTTGCATTTTAATTCAATTCAGTTTGTTAATAAAATGTCATTTAATGTTATTTAATTAAAATTCTGTTTGTTAATGTCATTTAAATGTTATTTAGATTAAATTTTTATTGTCAGTTAATACTTTGCTATTGCTAGTAATAAAATATTTGCTAACTAGACTATACATTGTTTTTTACATTTGTACTTTTATACAGTTTTTGTGTTCTTTTGCTCACAAAAAAAGGTTTTAATGAAATTAAAAAGTTTATAATAAAATTGAATCATTTAGAAACTTTGAATTCATCAGAAAGTTCTACCAGAACTTCTTCTAAGAAAGGTAATTATAATGTTTGATTTATTTAAAATTACTCAACATTTACTTCTGAAATGTTTTGTGCTACAAAACATTTTAAATGTCAAGTACTTCGTTACAGTGTTGTACAAATAATATTTAATAATTTTTTTTTTATGCTAAATGTTTTTCTCATGTCTTTTTGAATTAAATATTTTTTTTTTGTACTTTTAACTACAAAGTTTAAAATCCTAAAAATGTAACATTTTTTATGATATATATATTTTTATGTTATCCTTTTTTAGTTAGATATTAACTTTTTTTTATTATGCCCTACATGCTTAGTTTTGCTGCTTGTTTTATTTTTGTTTTAAATCAATAATTCTCTTTATGTCTTTAAATGAAGAAAATGCTTTAAAAGCTAGTTTAAAACCCAGTTAAAAAATAGTTTCCTTTTTGATTTACGTTCATTACAATTTTTCAAAAAAAACAATCTTTGAGAATTCTTTTTTCTGACAAGAAAATGTTCTCAATAAAATATATAACTGTCTCCAGATAATGTTGATGCTAATAAAAATCATGGTATTAAATTATGTTTGGAAGTTTGTTCAGAAGACATGTTTTTAATTGTATTAAATAATTACACAGTAAATCATCACAATACATTAATGAAGTTCTAGATTACAGAAAATAACTTATTTAGAGATGATTGGATGTTTCAGTAAAGTGGTTACCAAACCTCATACTCAAAAAACTTTCTCCAAAATTGAGTAACAATCGTTTTTTAGATTAATTGACAAAAATTCTCAAATTGCCCAACAAATTCTCCCGACACTTTATAAACTACTTTAAGACTAATTTGTTCACCGAATGGAGCAACTGGAGCAAAAAGTCAAAGAAAAATTTAAGTGCAGTAAAATTTCAGTAAAAAGTGCAATTTAACTTTAGGTATTTGTTTTGTTTTTACTAAGAACTTTAAGTTTCATATTTCTTATTTTCTCAGTACTTTTTCATAGGTTTCAATCCTTCATTGTTTAAAACCACTTATTTAAGTAATAATAAATATTTTTAACAAAAGGTTAAAAAGAAATAAATTTTGTCAAACCATAAAAACTTTTACATCTTTTGTAGCATTTCCACATAAAATATTGTTAAGAAAGTAATTTTTTTGCATTTTAATTCAATTCAGTTTGTTAATAAAATGTCATTTAATGTTATTTAATTAAAATTATGTTTGTTAATGTCATTTAAATGTTAATTAGATTAAATTTTTATTGTCAGTTAATACTTTGCTATTGCTAGTAATAAAATATTTGCTAACTAGACTATACATTGTTTTTTACATTTGTGCTATTATCCAGTTTTTGTGTTCCTTTGCTCACAAAAAATGGTTTTTTAATGAAATTAAAAAGTTTATAATAAAATTGAATCATTTAGAAACTTTGAATTCATCAGAAAGTTCTACCAGAACTTCTAAGAAAGGTAATTATAATTTTTGTTTTATTTAAAATTATTCAACATTTACTTTTTAAATGTCAAGTACTTCGTTACAGTGTTGTAAAAATAATATTTATTATTATTATTATTTTTTTTTTATGCAAAATGTTTTTCTCGTATCTTTTTGAATTAAAGATTTTTTTTTTTGTACTTTTAGCTATAAATTTTAAAATCCTAAAAATGTAACACTTTTATGATATATATATATATATATATTTTTATGTTATCCTTTTTTAGTTAAGTATTAACTTTTTTTTATTATGACTAACATGCTTAGTTTTGCTGCTTGTTCTATTTTTGTTACAAATCAATAATTTTCTTTATTTCTTTAAATGAAGAAAATGCTTTAAAAACTAAAATAGTTTTCTTTTTGATTTACGTTCATTACAATTTTTTGAAAAAACAATCTTTGAGAATTCTTTTTTCCGACAAGAAAATCTTCTCAATGAAATATATAACTGTCAAAAGAATCACGTCTCCGAATCAAGTTGATGCTGTTAAAAAGTTTGGTAATAAATTATGGTTGGAAGTTTGTTTAGAAGGCGTAACGTTTTTGGTTGTATTAAATAATGGCACAGTAAATCATCATTAAAATATAATGAAAAAATTCTAGACTGCAGAAAATAACCTATTTAAAGATGATTAGATGTTTTAGTAAAGTGGTTACCAAACCTCATGCTCACAAACTTTCTCCAAAATAGTGTAACAATCGTTTTTTAGATTTATTGACAAAAATCATTGCCCAACAAGTTCTCCTGACTCTTTAGACTACTTTATTTGAGACTAATTTGTTCACTAAATTAACTGGAGCAAAAAGTAAAAGAAAAATTTAGATGCAGAGCTCAAGCAAGCTATGAAACTATTTGGTTCTAATTGGGAAAGAAGTTGTACTGGAGTGTTATAGAAAGTTGTAATAGAAAGCATTAGAGATTTTTTACATTGATAAACTAACTGTTTTTAACTTTTAAATCAATATTTTAAATATTCTCCACTAATACTGTTTGAATAACACAATTTTGTTATATTCATATATCAAATGTTACATTAATTAGATTTTCTTAGAAACTTTACTTAATGGCAATGAAAAAAAATCTATAATATAGTTATTATAATTTTTTTTAAATAGAGTTTTTTACTTTAGTACTTTTTTACTTTTCAGTTTATATTGATGAACTATAGTTTTAAAAGGGGGTTGTATCAACAATGTTTAAAAATTTAAACTTAAAAATTTATGGAGTAAATTTATTTAAAAATAAATATAAATATTAGAAGAAAATACTGACTTGGCACACGATGAGCATAACAGTAGATGTTCTTGGTTTTTAAAATACTAGAGAAAATTTCAGGATTTTTAGCATGTACAGTTGCATGAAAAGTATAAGAATTATCTACAAATTTTATTGATTTCACTGTTTAAAACATGTGTGTTTAATTTTTTTTGTTAAGGTTTTTTAAATAAATACACGTAGAAAATTTTTTTTTCATGTTATGTTATTATGTGAGTGTGTTTAGCTTTCTATTCACCTGATTTGAAAGTGGAACATGTAACGAAAACATAACGAGACCATACTAGACGACAAAACGGTACGTACTAATGCACTACACCATCACACCTGTAGACATCAACAGCCTCTAAAATCAGTATATCAAATATTTGTTCTTTGTTACATATGATCTAAACACAGAGTGACTAGAGTGTTAGTTGGTTCTCCCTTTGCCCCAGGAGCATTTAACTTCGTTTTTCACCTTCACAAAGTCATTTTATATTTTCTTATGATTTTTATTTTTTATTCAATGACACCATCTTCTAACTGTTTTTATTGTCACATCTCTCAGGTCTACGAAACTGGAAGGCTCCGTTGGTCACTTTTTGCGATCATTGTGTCGCATAAACAAGAGGAAAAAAATAATAATAATAAAAATAATTATATAACTAGTTATATATATAATTAATTAGATTTTCTTAGAAACTTTACTTAATGGCAATTAAAAAATAATAATAATAAAAATAATTATATAACTAATTATATATATAAAAATATAGATTAATTTTTTATTCTTTAAATGTAAATCTATGGAAAATATTTGCACAATTGATTTTTTAAAAATAAGACCTTCAACAACTGCATTTTCAATAAAATTTAAAAATGAATAATCATCAAAGTTACAAATATATAAATATATAAAAAAGCCCTCATATATAAAATACACAAACATACAAATATATAAAAAAGCCCACTCTCTAAACTTCTTCAGCGGTATTATAAAGTAGTTTTGCTTATATTCATAAATATATTTTATTTTTTTAGTTTAACCATAAAAGATTGTATTTAAATAATTTGATGCAATAAAAACATGCTTCAAATATAAAAATATTCTAAGGTTCTTAGTTTATAATAAACTGTTATAAAATACTTAGATTAAGATGAAAGTGATAAAAAAAATTCATGATAAAAAATACTTAAATTAAATAATATTAAAATTTTAGTTTTTTGAGTTATTTTAATTTTTGTGTTTTTTTATTTAATCTATTGTTAAGATTTCTTTTCTTAGTTTAAATTCAGATGTTTTTTATTTGTTAAATCTCGATTAGTTTTTTCAGCGCTTTTTCAATTTTTTGAAATGTTAAAATTTTCAAAAGATATTAACAGCCATGTAGTTGCCAAAAAAAAAAGTTATTTTTCAACAAAAAAGCAGTGTTTTTTTGTTTTTTGAACTTGTTATCTCTCTTTAAGACAATGCTTAGCTGTTTGCTTAACACTTTTCACCAATCTCATCTTTTGTTTCCTCTAATCACATGATATAGCTGACTAACAGGGTAATCCATTGTTTGACGTTCGTATCCCTTTAGCTTTTGTATCTAAAGTGATTTCCTGTTTAGACTTTTCTACAATTTGTGGTCTGGACAACATACCTCACATCTAAGGTGGTGTTGTTCACTGATGATATCATTATATTACCATTTATTTTTGTCTTGATGCTATTGTCTTGTCTTGTAACTATTCATAAGTATTTCAAAAAAAAAAATTTCAATTTTTTTTGCCTAAACATCAGTTATTTGGAATTCGATGTTAATTGTTGTTTTGCTTTATAGTTACCATAGTTATATTTAAAAATAATAATTACCAAGAAATTTCACCAAAGATTATGTTGTTTTATGGTTTTACTGATTAAGATTAATGGGATAGGATTTTTTTGAATAATTTATTTAATATCTATAGTATTTAAATGAAAACTCCCCAGTTGCTGTTGATGTTAAAAACCCTGTCAATCAACCACTTACCAATAGTTGTAGTGTTGCATCTCTTTTCTACAAATACTATTATGGTCAAACAAATTACTCCAGTTATTTCAACCATAACTCACTTAACAACCACAGCTCAACCATTCAACACAGTTGTAATTCTTACTTTTTTTTCTTCAGAAGTAAATAAACTGAAACTCATTTCTTCATGTTTTAAAAACTTTTCTTCATGTTTTAAAAACTTTTTTTTCTTTTTATTTATCTAGATTCTTTCCTTGGGCATCAATGCTTTCGAATTCTCTCCTACCTTAACTTTTTCCTGACTTAGAAAAATCAGTTTTTTAAGTCTTCTGTCAACCGTTTTCTTTTCTCTTTGAAATTTTTCTTGTTTTATGGTCGCAACGTATGTAGTGGTTACTTGCAGATTTGTTGGATGCAAATTGATAAAAAAAATGTTTTTGAATTTGAAGTGTAAATCAAGGTTTGTGGCACTTCTATATGCTAAACGTTTAAATTGGTATTTTTCAAGTTGTCTACTTGTTAAAGAGGTTTTGCTCAAAGACAGTCTCTTTGATTTAAAAAATTTACCATTAAATAAAACTATATTTATATATTTGATTTAAAAATAATTTGATTTAAAAATAGCATTAAATTAAACAATATTTGTATATTTGAAACAGATTTGATTTGAAACAGATTTGATTTAAAAATAGCATTAAATAAGTTTATGATTTTGAAAAATATGTTCGAAACCATAATTTATTTAAGTAATAATAATAATTCGCTAAGTCACAAAATAAAAATAATACGCTAAGTCACAAAAATAGTATATATAATAACACGCTAAGTCACAAATATAAAAAAACTGAGTTAATTACATTTCTCCATTTTATATACCATTTTATATACTATTTGAATATTAAATCAAAATAAAGACTCCAAGTCCTATAAATATTAAACATATCTAAACATTTTCAAAACATGCTAAGTCAAACAGGTTTACAGCTTCAAAACTTAAGTCCACAGCGAATCAAATGACGTTATGATTTTTTAACAACCAATGAATTGTGTGTTTATATTAAAATTAGCGCACTTTTGTTGGCGCTTTAGGTTTTATTTACCATATCACAAAATGACTGAAGTTACTCAAGGTTTATACCTGTAGAAGAAAAAGCTAGCCACTATCTTATTTGTTTAACTTTCTACTATGTATATATATATATATATATATATATGTGTGTGTGTGTGTATATATATATATATATATATATATATATATATATAATATATATATATATATTGACATTTTTAGTTTTAGGCATGAACTAAAACCACCATTAAAACACTAACAACAACATGAATATATCGCTCTCCTCCATCTCAAGACTGCACTCTTCTTGATATTATTTCTGATTATATTGACCAAGCCCTCATTCTTGACAAAGACAAAGTTGAATTGTTTGCCAAGAACTTTTCATCAATATCATCTCTTGATGCCACTTGTTTTTTTCCTCGAACATCAGTTCTTTGGAATTCGCTTCCTTCATCTTGCTTTCCTAATTTGCAATCTTTTAAGTCGTCTGTCAATCGTTATCTTGCTCTACAATCTTCATTTTTTCTCTTCCAGTAACTTTCAACACTAATTAGTGGTTGCTTGCAGCCTTGTTGGAAGCAAAGATAATTTAAAAAAAAAAAAAGAAAAAAAAGAATGCAAAACCATATATAAATGCCCTGAAATAAAAGATATCAACCTTTAACTTTTTAATGCTCATTTTTATAATGCTATAAAAAATGTGACCAAGACGAATTTAAATTAAAGTTTTTGTCTGTTCAGAAAAAACAACAATATAGAAAAAGAGAGTAATTTTATCCTGTTCCTAAAAAAATTAGGAACACAATTAATTGTGAAATTAGTTATTTTATGGAAATAGAAAAAAGGCAAATAGTGAGTGTTTGCAAAGACACTTTTCTAAAAGGCTTACATGTTGGTAAAACTTGTGTTCAAAGTATTGCAAAACATTTCTTTACACTTGGTAATCCTAGAAAAGAAAACAGAGGTGGTGATATAAAAAAGCCAAAAATTCAAGGATAAGCGAAAAGCTGCGATAGAATTTATAAAGAGTTATTTAAATAAAGTTTTTATTGTCAACTAATATTTGGCTATTGCTAGTATTAAAAGATTTGCTAACAAGAACTATACATTGTTTTTTACATTTGTTATTTTATCCAGTTTTTGTGTTTCTTTGCTCAAAAAAAAATAAAATTAAAAAGTTTATAATAAAATTGAATCATTTAGAAACTTGGAGTTCACCAGAAAGTTCTACCAGAACTTCTTCTAAGAAAAGTAATTATGTTTGATTTATTTAAAATTACTCAACATTTACTTCTGAAATGTTTTGTGATACAAAACATTTTAAAAGTCAAGTACTTTGTTACAGAGTTGTAAAAATAATTTTTTTTTTTTTTTTTATGTAAATTGTTTTTCTCATGTCTTTTTGATTTAAAGATTTTTTTTTTGTGCTTTTAAAAATAAAAGTTAAAAGCCTAAAAATGTAACATTTTTTATGGTATATATATATTTTTATGTTATCCTTTTTCAGTTAAATATTAACTTTTTTTATTATGCTTTACATACTTAGTTTTGCAGCTTGTTTTATTTTTGTTACAAATCAATAATTCTCTTTACGTCTTTAAATAAAGAAAATGCTTTAAAAGCTAAAATAGTTTCTTTTTTGATTTACGTTCATTACAATTTTTCGAAAAACAATCTTTGAGAATTCCTTTTTCTGACAAGAAAATGTTCTCAATAAAATATTTAACTGTCAAAATAATCAAGTCTCCAATTATGTTGATGCTGATAAAAATCATGGTATTAAATTATGGTTGGAAGTTTGTTCAGAAGACATGCTTTTGGTTGTATTAAATAATGACACAGTAAATCATCACAATATATTGATGAAGTTCTAGATTACAGAAAATAACTTATTTAGAGATGATTGGATGTTTTAGTAAGGTGGTTACCAAACCTCATACTTACAAACTTTCTCCGAAGTTGTGTAACAATCATTTTTTTAGATTTGTTGACAAAAATAATTGCCCAACAAATTCTCCCGACCCTTTATAGACTACTTTATTTAAGACTAATTTGTTCTCCGAACTAACTGGAGCAAAAAATCCAAAAAAAATTTAAGTGCAGAGTTAAAGCTAGCTGTGAAACTAATTGGATCTAATTGGGAAAAAAGTTGCACTGGAAACTTGTAATAAAAAACAACAGAGATTTTTTATATTAATAAACTATCTTTTAAAAGTAGTTTTCTAAGAAAAAAATTAAATGGATAGAGCGAAAAACTTACTGGATTGAAAGCAAAATAAAAATATTTGGTTCTTTATGTGAAACAAATTATGTGCATTTATACAAGTTAGTTTAGTTTGGTTACTTGTTCTATCATTGTTACTGATCATTAATTTTGTTTTATGTGTCAGTAGCTCGTGTAAGTCCATATCATTGTTTGCTTTATAGCAATATTTTAAATATCCCAACTAATACTGTTTGAGTAACACAATATTTTTATATTCATATATCAAGTGTTACATTAATTGATTTTCCTTAGAAACTTATTTTAATGATAATAAAAAAAAAATTGAATTAGTTCAATTTTTTTTTTATTTCAATTTTTTTAAAAGTGAGTTTTTTACTTTAGTACGTTTTTAGTTTATATTGATGAACTATAGTTGTAAGAGGGGGTTGTATCAATAATGTTTAAAAATTTAAATTTAAAAAATTTATGTAGTGAATTTGTTTAAAAATAAATATAAATATTAGAAGAAAATACTGACTTAGCACACAAAGAGCATAACAGTAGATGTTCTTGGTTTTTAAATTACTAGAGATAGTTTCAGGATTTTTAGCATGTACAATTGCATGAAAAGTATAAGAATTATCTACACATTTTATCGATTTCACAGTTTAAAACATGTGTGTTTAGGTCTTTTTGTTAAGTTTTTTAAAATTTTATTTTAAAAACCTTCACAAAATAACTTAAAAAAGATCTTAGCCAATGAACTAAACATGCAAGGTCATGTTTAGGATTCTTAAAATTAATACAACTCGAGGAAAAAGCAGATAAGCTACCAAAATTAATACAACTCGAGGAAAAAGCAGATAAGAATAAAAACAAAAATAAAAACATTCTTTGATATACATTTTATTTGTGGCTTTTGTTAGTCAGCATATTAAGGAAATTATTTGCGCTAGAAATATGGACAAATTTAAAGTTTTTTTCAAAAATGTTTTTGCTAAACTTTACTGTTTTAATCGATGAAAGCAGGAAAGCAAGAAATCTAAATGCTATTTATTTAAAACAAATTTTTTTTTAATTTTTTAACAAGTTTGTCAAGTAAAAAAAAAAAAAAGTCATTAATTCTAATTTTAATTCTAATTAATGAAACTAATTAGTAAACTAAGAAGGTGGAAAAAATTATTAGATATAGATGACAAATTGTTATGACACTAATTAATGTAGCTCTCAAAATTAAAGTACAACTAGTGGTTTTTATTTAAATGAAAAGAATTAAGTGTTTGAATTAAAATTAAATTAAACAAGATTAAAAAAAAAAAGGTTATGAGGAATAAAATTACACCCAACAAATAAACAGTATAAAATAAACTTTTTGATATAAGATATTTTAAAATAAATTTATTTTCTAATTTTCATAATACATAAGTATTGAGAAAATATGTCAAAGACATTTTTAAAAGCCAAAAGATATAAAAACCAATAAACGCAAAAAAGAAAAATTAACAAAATTTCTCATATTTCTAGCATACATAGCAAATTAATTTCTTAATTATATGGGCTGATAAAAATCATGAATAAGTTGCAAATCAAAATTTTCAATTGTTATTAAATTGTTATAAAATGTTTCTTTCCTCAACTTGTATCAATTTCTGTTTCTAAAAATAACAACCAACCTAAAAAAAAGAATACAAAAGTTGTATAAAAATTTATAGAAAAATGTTTTTTAAATTTTTTTAATTCAAATTGCTAAACTTTTCTAGTTTGTTTAATTAAAATTTAATATTTTGTTACGAATTTGTTTACTTCTTTATGGTTGTTTTTTTTACTCAGTAGATAAGTTTAGGTTTTTAACGCGAATTATTAAATACTAAAATATTAAATGCCTAAAAAATTGATGCAAACTGCTGTGGTCAATGTGTCAAAAAAATTACATCTTTTTTTTTCTTTTGTGAAGCATTGAATAACTCTTTTGCCAACCATTTGAGTAAACAAAGTTTTACGAGAATCAAGGTTTAATAAAACTCTGATGTTACTCATTGAAGTTTTATTCTTTTTAACTCTTAGTTTTAAGATGTTGATCCGTTTTAGACATATTGGTTATATAACAAATTCAAAATGACTGATTTTGATTTTCAAAATCCTATTTTGATAGAAAGTTTAAGTTCAGATATCTCAGTTGCTACAAAACATCCCAAAATTATTTTTTTCTGTATATCTTCTAGTTTTTAAGATTCCTAAAAATTTCAAGTGTTAAATTTACTGAACACCTAGAATTTCCAGTTCATAAATAGACCTCTTTTTAACATTTTAAAGCTGAAGGCTTTTTTAGAGGAATCTATCTTCTATAATTTTGAATCCAATATTACAAAACTTATCATGAATAATGACTACCACCTATATTCTCACAAAATAACATAATTTGCTTTGTTAATATTAAAAAATTTTCTTTAAAGTGTTTTTTTTTATAACTTAGAAGTCCAAGATGGGCTAAAATAAAAACTTGAGAAAAATTTTTTTTTGCTTGAGATAGATTATTGCCATTAGATTGATTTTTAAGTATTTAAGATAATTAGTTTTTATTTTATATGGGCTTGAAAATAAGACTTTTTTAAGAAAACAATAAGCTAAGACATTATTTTTTTTTTGTTGCCATAATTTTTGAATGCTTAAAGGTGATGAAAAATTTTAGAAAAATTTTTTTTCCATAAAAACAAGTAGTGTATATTTCAAGAAAATCTGAGAATGTCACCCACAATGGTTTTGCTCATTTTATATGGAATGACTGTGTAATTAATTAAACTTCAGTAATTAATAAGTTGATTCTACCACCTGCATATATGGTAAAATCATAATATGGATAGTTTTGATGATGATGATAATGATGATGATGATGATGATGATGATGATGATGATGATGATGATGATGATGATGATGATGATAATGATGATGATGATGATGATGATGATGATGATGATGATGATGATGATGATGATGATGATGATGATGATGATGATGATGATGATGATGATGATGATGACTAATGTAGAAATAATTACTTCAGTAATTAATAAGTTGATTCTACCACCTGCATATATGGTAAAATCATAATATGGATAATTTTTGAGAATGTAATTAAAGTTAATTGATAATTTTTATCAATCGACAGTTTATTTAATGGCAACAAGCAACCACTATTAAGTTATGAGTTTCTTTAAAATACAGAAAACATTTAACTAAAGACTTAAAAAGTTGTAGGTTGTATAAAAAAGAAAAACATGAAGATGAGTAAGAGTTATAAGGTTTTTTTGATGTTCAAGGAAAAAAACTGGATTAATAAAACTTTTTTAGCAGGACAGATACAGTAAAAGGATGCTACTTGTTAAATACAAAGCCAAACAAGAATGAGTTTTGGTTTATTGTTATAGAGATAATAGCTTGTTTAAGCATTAATCATGATTTTATTTGTAGAAAAAAGAAATAAATTTTTTCTTTCAACCTTTCAACAATAGAGCTCAAGATTGGCAGAAAAAGCAGGTTTAATTACATTTACAATGTGCTTTTAGATTTTGTGTGAGAGTAAATGGGTTGTTATTCATCAATATATAGGAATGCTAACAATATTGCAATATTTTTTTGCAGTAAATAAATGAGTTTTTTTGTCTAACCAAAAAGTTCAGATTATTTCTCAGCGAGTATCAATTTGAGTCATCAGCAAATAGAACCATTTTAGATTTCATGAAAATTGTTATTGTAGATAAGAAACAATACAGGAGCAAAGATAGAACTTTGTGGTGTCGGTAAAGCTATTTGAAATAAAGAAGAGGGTCTTTAAGAATAACTTTACTTATGCAGTTAGAAAGAAATAATTTAATAACCTCAAAACCTTTATATAAAGAAACTAATAACAGAATAAAGACTCGTAGGTAGTAAGAGAGTATTGTAGGTAGTAAGAGAGGTCAAAGTGTTTTCTAGAGTTTTAAAAAATTGGAACCACTTTAAAAAATGTGGAAAAATTTAGCACTCAAAAAAATTCGGCAAAATTTGAAGAGATTTCTGAAGAACGTTTTTAAAAATATGATGGTAATCTATTCTGGAGCACACACTGTAGAAATATTTAATTGAGTATTAACTTTAGCATTGAAAGCCAGGGGGATTTGGATGTTTAACAATGGATTAATCTGTTTAACTTTCAGAAAGAGTATAATTAAACTTACATTAGTTAATGACATTGTTAGAGACTAACCAAACGTCTCTGGAACCTAACATCTGAGATAAGATACAAGGTTTAGTAAAACTGAGAATAACAGTGCTTAACATTAAAGATGTTCTTGTAAAAAAGATTTAAAAAAAGATTTATGTTTAATAAAGCAACTGCTCAAGATGGTGAAAAATGTGGAGTAGAATAAGGCTTGAGTTAAAAATGAAGAGAAGTAATAAAAGCTTCCAAACTTTTAATCCAGAAGGAATAAAAGCTTTCAAGATGCACTTTATGCATATATATTATGGATATAAACATATATGTTTATATAGTATTTATATAGTATAGTATTTGCCGAAAGAGATGATGATCAGATAGATGCGTGGTATGACTTTAGCTAGACAAGAAATAAAGACAATCTTTGACAGATAGAAAAAATGTTGTATCAAACTAGGTTAGTTAGAAAAGATAAAATTAATTTAGGTATCTGCATGTAGAGAGGTAGCAGCTTCAGTAGAAAATGGTAGTGGTAGAAGTAAGAAAACTTGATGAGAGTGCCTTACATATTGTATGAATGAGCTTTAGTTTAAAAAAAAATGCTTTAGATTGTTTATGATGATTATGATGACCATGTTTACGCAAAAGCAGCGGACATATGTCAAGTGGTACCTGGTTACATAGTGCCAGTAGCAGGGTGATCCTGATGATCCTGAATCTGACCTAACCTGTTGCTGCAGTTGTTATTGTTATTTAAAATATAATTCAGACCGATATAAATTATTTCAATATATAATTTTTTAATTATACTAATTCAGTTGTTGTTGTTGGTTTAAGTTTAAATTTAATGGTTTAATTTAAATTTTTGTTGTTGGTTTAATGTTAAATGTCAATGGCATGAAACCTGTTCAGACCCTTCTCTCCTTATAATTTATAGTGGTTAAAGGTTTATCTATAAATTACATTATGCTCTGGCTTTTCGTTCACTTGTTTGGGACTTATTACAAAGAAAAAGCAAGGAAAGAGGGGGTCAAAGTTAAAAATTTCATGTGTAATTTATGGACATTGCATTACATAATTTATACCCCTAGTATAAATTAAGCAATTTGTATTAGTAGTGATTATATATACCTCTAATTATATGCAGTGGTTAATATAAATTTATTATAAAAGTTGCTTTAGCTTAGGCAAGTATAATGCGTTACTAAAAAATTAGATTTGGCATAGAAGGTTAGTTTCTTGGCACAGGCTGTTTTGAGAATTTAAATACTCAGCTTATTAGAATTTTAATAAATATTTAAACACTAATAAGCTATTAATATTTAAATATTAATAAAAACATGCATTAGTGTTAATGTTCTAACCAATTTACTTTGTTAAAAACGTTTATCAACTATAAAAAAAAAAAAAACTACAAAAAAATCTTGTTCTTAAACATGTAACATAGGGTTTGCCACATGTTACATATTTTGATCTAGCAACATGAACATACTTTTACTGGAAAAAAATTTAAAACTTTTTAAAAACTTTTAGAAGATTATTTGACTTTACAAAGTCATATGATGGAGTTTACTTTCACAGAATCTATTAAAATCACAATGTTCTTGATGTTTATTTATAAGTTTAAAAATACCCTCAGATTTTTTACAGAGAATTCAGAAGCTAACTTTTTACAACAGGAATTTTTACTTCCAATGATCCAGATATTAACTTTTTTTTAATGCATTTATCAAAATGATAAAAGAAGAAGGTTTGGTTATTATTTTTATAAATAAAGTTATTAAAACCATGACACAGATATTTTTAGAGTTTAAGAGAACTGTTTTTAACTAGAAAGTCAAACGATTTAATATGTCAGAAGCAAACAACAAGTCAAATAATTGGATTTAATTTAAGGCCTGTATAAGTAATCTATTCACTACTTTGTAAATTTCATGCTTGATAATAGTGCTTGCTGGAGTTTATTCATCTACAGAGTCTAAAACAGCCCTTGGTAACCAGTTCTTCATGGTAATGTATAGCATAGTATGGAAGTAGAACTTTCTGTATTAGCAAAATATCAAGTGTCTGTATAGTTTGTATATGGTTTTATATGTATTAGTCTGTCTATGGTTTAGTATTACTAAATCGTAGGTTTTTCAGACATAATGAAATATTTAAAATAAAAGACATTTTTTTTTAAAGAAAACAAATTTTTCTAAACTTTTTTTTTTTTAATTTCTATTTAGACTTGAATCACTAGATTATGATCAAAAAAACAAAATTTTTATATTCAATTTTGACCTTTTACATTTGATAATAATGATTATTATGATGATAATGATGATGATGATGATGATGATGATGCTGATGATAATGATGAAGATAATGATGATGATGATGATGATGATGATGATGATGATGATGATGATGATGATGATGATGATGATGATGATGATGATGAAGATAATGATGATGATGGTGATGATGATGATGATGATGATGATGATGATGATGATGATGATGATGATGATGATGATGATGATGATGATGATGATGATGATGATGATGATGATGATGATGATGATGGTGATGATGATGATGATAAAGATAATGATGATTTGATGATTATAATGAGTTATTGTTTTTAGATATATCAGAGATATGCACAGCACTCAAAAGTTTATATCTTTCAAGTTATGTGAAAATAAATGAAGTTCAAGTACCACTAAAATCACCTGCAAATGTCAATTTAATGCATAAATTCGTTGATCTATGTATTGTTGATGCAGTCAATGCTCAAACAGATGCTGTATTAAGTGAACGAAAAGAATTTCTTCAAAAGCAATTGCGTTATACACCAATTCCATATAGTGAAATATTTATGAAAGATAAATCTGTAACAATAATATCTGGAATAGCTGGTATTGGGAAAACATGGTTGCTTAGAAAATGTTTGCTTGATTGGTCAAATGGTCTAATTTGGAAAAATGTTAAACTTGTGTTTTATTTGGAATGCAGAAGGCTTAATCAATATCAAAATATTTCTAATATTCATGAATTACTAAATGTTTTCTACAAAGATATTATAAATGATTTTGATATTAGTACTCATTCTACGCTGTTTATAATTGATGGATTAGATGAGTTTAAATATCTAAATGAATTAATAAATTGCAGTTCGAGTTGTAACTATCCAATTGTTAATGTTTTAACAGAAATTCGAAAATATAAGTATGTAGTTGCTGGTAGAGTTCATGCAATTGATCAGTATCAAAGTATATCTACAGAGGATTGTGATAAGATAAACATTCAAATTATGGGATTTAATGAAGGCGGAATAAATAACTATATAGAAAATAATGTTTTAGAGGAAAAAAAAGATGTTGTGAAAGCAACTTTGAAGGAATCTGCAATTGCAAAATCAATGTCATCTGTTCCATTTTATTTATCTTTGATGTGTAGGATTATTAGTAATTCAAAAAGTTTATACAAAAATTCTTTTTTAACAATGACAGACTTGTATGCAAATATTTTTTTACATTTTTTGCAAAAACACATTATCAAAAACAATGAATCGATTTTTCAATTTATGAAAAACAATTCCAATAAAGAATATATTTTAAATATTTGTAAAATTGCGTATCAATTGTTTGTTGAAAATAAAGTAATTTTTTCCAAAGAAGACATTCAAACCTTTATCATTGACTTTGATAAAAATGAAGAAAATTTTTTTGGATTTATTGAAAGAATTGAAACTAGTCTAGGTGAAAATATTTATCAATTTGCACATTTGACAATAATGGAGTTTTGTGCATCTATATATGCATATAATTGTTTAAGTAGTGAAGAGATTATGACTAATGAAAAGCTGAAGAGTTGTTTATCAATGATTTGTGGTTTGACCATTAAAAATCTAAATAGTTCCTTAAAGTATCTTGTTAACCTGAATCCTTTAAAACAAACTTGTGAAGATTCTTTATTTTTGTTTTCTATTTTTGGTAAGTCTATAATACTTTATTGCATTATTGTAAATTATTTTATATAAAATCTATTTATCAAAAGTGCAAGTTTATTAAAATCAAAAGTTTATAAACATTAAGTTTTTTTAAAGCTGTTTTTATCATTCCTTCTTTAAAAGATAGACTCATTCTTTTGTATTTAGTATGTTTGACAATATTTGGCAAAATATAGATTTTAAGAGAAAAATAATTAGATTTTAAGAGAAAATCAATATAAATAATATTTTATAAGAAAATATAACAAATATACATATCAGTTTTGATTACAAGTAAATTCATCTGCGTCAGCCATTACACATCTTATACAGTAAGAGAGATAATTATCTGAACAAAATTAAAAAAAAAAAACAAGTAAACTTTGACAAGTAATTTCAGAAGAAAAATGAGTTAATATAAAAAATTAATGATTGTTATAAGTTAATCATGTTTTTTTTAAATAAATGCAATATTAATCAAAAATTCATAACTTAAAAGCTAAAGTAATTCAAAACTTAAAAATTAAAATAATTACATTTATGTGCTAAAACCTTAATGATGCATTCAAATTATGCATTTTTTTTAACTTTAAATAAGTGTGCAAACCAAATTATTAAATTTTTCTTTTTAATTATTAAACATTTCTCCAAGTAAATAAATTTTTTGACTTTTTAGTATTAAGTCAGACCATCTTTAGCGTTTAAGACTTCTGCAAGTCGATTTTGCCTTTGTTTAACTAATTTTTTTGCCGTATCTGGATTGATTTAAGTCCAAGCTATTAGGAGCATGATTATTTTCTCTTTGTTTTTTTTGAAATTGCCACATTTTTGATCCAAAATTGCCCATTGGTGTTCAATTGCAATGAAATCTGAACTTTGAGTAGGCTAATCAAGGATAAAAAACACTTTTACTTTCTTTAACGTATGCTTAGTGTTGTTGTCTTGTCTATGCAAATTCAAACATTTTTTTACTTTTTTATCAGATTACTGATGGTTCCTTATGCTGTTTCAGTTGCTTTTTTTCATCAACCTAAATGTTTTACCTTGTCATTTAAAACAGTGATTAAATTTACTTTCAGAACATAACATTTATCAAAATCTTTTTTTCATCTTCTAAGAAATTAAAGTTTATCTTCATAATAAAATTTTCTGTTAGGATATTTGTTTCTTTTAAATATTCGGTCAAGTAAAACTGACACTTTTTATATCTTGAATTAAAAAAGATTGGAACAAGCTACAAAGTTGATTTTTTTTTAATTGAATGCTTATTAAGTCTAGAACAAAAATATATATATATAAAAAAAAATTTCAGTACAATAAATTTTTCTCATAATGGGAGTCATAAGATTTAGCACTAGGTGAGATCCATACTTTGTGACCAGTACTTATTTTTGCTTGCCTAAACTTCTTACATAATTTGGCTTTAATAATCGCCTAATATTGCCTAATTGGATGAAGTTCAGGATAATCCCTTTTTAAGGTACTTTTTAATAATCACTTTTTAAGGCACTCTTTTATAAATTTCACTTTTTATTGTGCAATTAGTGACAAAACTTTGTGTTTTCAATCTACATTGACATCTGGCTTGCCAAACCATAATTTTTTAGAGAAGTTTTTTGAGTTTTAAGAAATAAATATTAAAATTTAGCCTTTGCCTTTTTACTGGAAACTCCCATATAAAAATGATGTCATGAAATTGTTTTGAAATTTAATTTTACATAAATTTTATCATACATGATTATACTTTTTTTTTCTAGACAATAATTTGTATATTTTTCATGCACGACTTTTTGCCACTAAATTTTCTTCAGCATTGTAATCTGGAATTTTTTACATCTTGAAGGACTTGATTTTATGCTTTTTCTTGATAGTCCAGACCATTTGTCTGCTAGTTTTGCATTTTAAAGCCAAATTTCGCTCTGAAATGATAGGGTTCGCCCATATTTTTGGCAAAACATTTATCTTTGGTTATTTATTAATGTTCAAATTGTTGCACCTTTCACGCTTCTATTTATTGCCGTAAGTGTCAAATACTGATTTAAAGTTCACAGTGCTTTTAGAACATTCAACAGTTTTTATAATCGATTTGAGAGGCTAATTAGGAAATTTTACTTGAGCATGCAAAATTGTATCACGCACTTGTTGCTGTTTTGTTGCCATTTGAAATAGTAATATAAAAAAATATAAAAATATTTTCTTAGTATGGAGTATAAAAGAAAGCATGAATGAAGCTTTTTCATATTTCATGAATAAACATTGCTTTTCATCATAACATGGAACAGTTTTATGTTAATTATTTTATTATTTCTAATGATTGTTTAATTAAACACATTTAATTTATATTATAAAAGTGTATTATACATATTGTTTTTATTTATGTTATAGCATTTTTTTATTATAAATTTAAATCTTTGAACATCATTTTCTTCAAAAATTTAAATTAGTTTTATAAACAATGTTGACTTTAAACAACAATTGTGTCTTTAAAAATCAATAAATTTTATGTTTTAGGCAAATGTCTCAGTATCTGACTTTTCATAAATCTTACAGTTTTTTTTGCAAATATTGCTTCTCGCTAAAATGCTTTTTTAGGGTAGTTATGCTGATTGCGCTGTCTGCAAACTTAATGAAGCTAATGATCTTGTTATCATCTCTGTAGCACTTAACATGGTTGGCAATGTCATATGACAAATCATTGATTTGAAATATATAGAGTTGTGTAGTAGAGTGCCAAGCCTTGTGGTACTCCAAATGACTTGCTAGTCAGATTAAAAAGTGACTTGATTTGACTTGCTTCTAAGCCTAATGGCTACGATCAAGTGAAGTATCTGCTTTTATTTGAGTTCTTATATCATTTTGATTGGTTATGATCTGCTGTAACATGGTATTTAGACTTCATTTCAATTAGTCACATCTAAAGACTGTGAAAAAATGACTTCATTGAGCCTAAACTTTGATTTTATGACATGACTTAACAAAAGAAAATTTGTATTTAGTGAGAAAATACAAAAAAAGTTCAATTTTTTCATTTGTTTTGTCTGATAATAAACAACAATTATATATTAAATAGATAAATACAGTAAAAAATCATTTGAAATAAGCTTCAGAAATAAATATATTTTCTAGATTTGGTAGTTTACTAACCGCTCTGGAGGATTTAGAAACTCAACTTTAGAAAAGGTTAATAAGTTTCACAAAGTAGCCACCAAATTAATTTTTGATAATATACTTGGTACACTGTCCTTGATAATGACATCTAACCCTAACCCTAGCCCTAACTCTAATATATTTTGCTGAAAAGTCTTTCTATGATCATTTTCTATGATCTTCTTGATTTACAGTTCAACGAAGTTAAAAAAAGATTGTGTTTTAAATTGTATTTACCTATAATTATGATTATCACATATACCTTTACTCTTTTAGGGCATCATTTTCTTTGATCTTCTTGATTTGTGGTTCAACGAAGTTGCTAGCTCTGTAATTTAGCCTCATCCTCTGAAAAAGCTTTTGATGAAACCTTAATTGCAGTGGTGGTAGTTTTTTCTTGGGTTTTATCAGCTGCTCCCACTAAACCTTGCTCTGTTTCTCAAAGAACTCAGTCACATAATTTTTCTGTGGTAGTGTCCTTGCTGTCCTAGAGACAAAGGAAATTGAAAAACTAAACAATAAGCTTGAAGGGCCAGTAGAATGATACCAATTTTAAATCTTTGACCTCTGTAGTTGTTATACATCAAGACAATAACTTCTTGAGATTAGTTTTATTCTCCTTGAGATGCACAGAATGAACCATCAGAATGGAAGTTGTTTGCATTGTAAAGCAACATGACTTTGAGTTTCTGGGATAAACTGTTTTCCACAGAGTTTATCTTGCTTTTATGATCTTTTTTATCTGTGGTTTGGCTAAGATATTAGCTCTAACCTCACACAGGTTCTGGAAAAGATTTTTAGGAAAATGTAGTGTGCCTTAGTGTGCCTTAGTGTCACTATTGCCCCAGAGGCTAAAGATATTAAAAATTTGTTTGAGAGCCTTGAAGGTGTAATAGAATAATACCAATTTCATATTTTTGATGACCTCTAGTCATTATACATCAAGGTACTTATCAACATCTTGGTACTAGGCTACCAATTTTGTTGGCTTCTTCTATGCACTGAAGGAGCCAACAGAATTGGTAGCCAGCTGTTTTCATTGTGAAGCAACATGGCTTTGAGTCTCCAAAATAAACTGTCTATAAATAGGTGCTATTTACTTGGCATGTGATTCCATTAGCTTTAAAAAAATCAACCACAATGTTACAGAAGCAATGGGTTTTCTGAATGAGCAAGTTGTAAAATTTTTGATTTGTTTTCTATGAATTGTGACTTATTTTTGTTTAACAAATTCCTTTGCTTAATCCGTGATATTAATAGTTCAGCTATGACTTTGTAAACTCTTGGTCTCTCATTAAATCATTGTCTTTCTGACTAGGCAATTAGGCTTCTACTGAAAAACCTTACCTGTTAAACTATAACTTGTACCTCCAATATCCCCTCTGCTATTAGACTTGCTCTTTTCTATTGAAGATGGCTGATCCTTTTTAGGGGGAGAAGAACAGGCAGCTCAAGGCTGTGTAGTCCTAGGGTATCAGATGAAGAAATATCTAAATAAGCGATTGAGACACATTTTTTTTCAAAGTAGAGGTTGTTTGAATGGTTCATTGATTGTCACCAAATTTTAAGGGTTTCAAACGTCATGACTATACCACATATAACATTGCATATATATATTATAGTTATATAAACTTGAAATAATCACTACAATATTTTTTATAGTGCACCAATATATATGAAAACTTTTTCACTTATATATCTGAATCAAAGAAATTTGACAAAATAAAGCACGTCTAAACAAGAAGCAGTTGTTCGCCTTGTTTTCAAGAGTTCTCTTGCAATATTATGCAAAATGTATTGCCCAATATTGATTTTATTCCATGCGGACATGCTTAAGTGTGCCTTGCAAACCTTACA